GCTCGGGTTATAGGGTTGTTATTCATTTCTATCAAGACTTATTGAACCTACGTGTTTTTCTAACATCATGAGGTTATATATATAGAGATATGTACTTAGTCTACGTCAATCTCGGTGTATATTAGTGTGTCAAAATAAATCATTAAAATTCAATGTTTTATTGTAAACAATTAGAATATATTTATTAAAGTTGTCAACGGTCTCCACTTAAAACCACTCTACATGTTTCGATGTAATTACGTCATCTGCAGGAGTAACTTACAAGACAGGTTTCATTTTTTATACACTTGTTACATGTCATGCGATATTTTTATATTATATTATATTTTCATAACTCACTGGACAATCTTTACAGTAAGTCACGCCAGATACTAATACAATGACTAGCTGGACCTTCATCTTTAAATACTAAGTTCCCTTTTTTTATATATATTTTGCTATTATTGTTTATATTCCCAACGATTCTCGGTATGTATGAGTCATAGAAAGAGACTAAGCTAGAATTATAAAATAACACACAAAATTTTGAAACAGCTTATAACAGTGAGACATTAGTTTTCTAAGAACAAATAATAATAATCGGATAGAAAATGTAATTTTTGTAGCATTATAGTATAGTATTGAGAAAATGACATATCGTTTGCATTATACAATTAGCAATCTAGTTACTTTTGTCTTCAGTCCATGCAATGGTCAGGATTTAGTTATCGTCTTGGTGAGTGAGCCCTGGTAGCTTCGAAGAAAGAAGAATCGGTCTAAAACACCTGCTTGATCAGTGGGTTTTGAACAAATCGCTTTTCACTAACTTTACACTGTATTTGTGATCTTTATAAATGATGACCCAAACTAGGTCTTCTGTGAGGTTTCTCATGCATTACAAGTTATTAAAATATATAACTGAAAAATGTGCTCTGCAGAATGAATGGTTATGTGAAATCATAGAACTGATGCATCATGAGTTTATTAAGTTTATATACACCTGTAGTTGCAAAATGTTAAATACAACCAGTTAGTTGGATAACACAATTAGTGGGGAATGTTTGTGATGATGGCATGTTTTCTACAGACTAGAGCCCTGGTAACTCTGGGTATGAGCATTATTCTCAAAATACTAGTGTAAGCCAGGGATCTTGGGTTCAAGCCCCAGTCAGAGGAGATTGCTTTCCATCAATTTCTGAAGTTTATAACTATTCTGATCTCTTTAGTATCATGTCTCAAGGTTATCATCATGCCATAACCAAAAGATCAAATACATTGTTAATCCTCACACTTTTTATTACATATTAAAATAATTCTGATTACAAAATTTGTCCAAAATTAGTTGCTTTCTGTGTAATTATTGGAAGTAACAGAAGAATGTGTATGAAGTGAGGGACAGATATACTTTCATTTTTATGAGCCCCATTAATTCATAAACAGAGCACATAAGGCAAATTTAAATAAGGTAGTTCTATTCCTCATGATACTGTTACAGCACTGATAAAAAAATACACATGCTTCTGATGATGAAAAAATGACCATTAAATTATCTGGTCCACTTTATGTCAAAGTAACTTTTTTTTCTTCACATGATTAATTTTCAATCATTTGGATTTATGTTTTAAATGTATGTGTGAAAATCAGTGGATTTTCTTTCCTAGTTCTTTGATAAAAATTTATAAATAATAAACATTTTTAAAATAGTGTAAAATTTTCTCTAGAATATGAAATTCACTGTTCAACTTAATGGTCCTTTAACACACTGCCACATCAATAAAAAAGTGTGACTGATATACATTTAATACCTTTAATTAGTGATTAAATTACTATTTATTACTTAAGATTTTAGGGGAGGATATTCCATTTTCAAAAACATGTATTATTTGGTGTGGATCAAGTTACATGTACGATAAGTATCTTTATAGTTTTAGCTACAAGTGTGGTATTTCCATTTGAGAGCTATCTAGCAATTGGATTAAAATGTTTACAATGTTTTTCATTCTTTACAGAGAACAGCATTAAAAGCTTTTACAGTTCAATATAAATGTAACTTTTTCCAATCTTTTTATTGTATTATTATAATAAGAGTTATGCATTCCATTTATCTTTGTTAAAGAATTTTAATAGAGAGGTAATTCTGATTTTAATTTCCAAAATTTTACCATTTTCCAGGTTCCATTAAAAAAAAAATGACATGCTGATATGTGTACAACTGTTTCCTTACTTAGAAATATTATAATGACTTCATGCTGTAACATACAAATAAATGTGTATCCAATATCTTTACAAAAAATACAGTATATAATCCTTATTCATCAATATAAGGTAGCATTCCATTTTGCTCCTCCCAAATTCAATACTAATATTCCACTAAAACCAACCAACATATCTAAACTGAAGTTACTAATATCTTAAGTTATTTTTTCTTCCATTATTAACTTTAGACAGCAGTTTTTGGATTTAAAATGGATAATTATTCTTGAAATTGTGCATGAATATTCTAGAATATTTACAACAAACTGTTTTGTTAACTATGTTAAATTTTTTGTAGCTTGTATTAAAAGTGAGTAACATCTGAATTATTTATCTTAAAATGACTAAAATTGTTGCTACAACACAATAAATGTCCATCATTATACAACATGCCCAAATAGCATGTATATTATGCTACTACACATGAAATTTTGTAAATATATTGCATGTGTGTATAACTTAGTGTATTTGAATGCAATTTAATAAAAGGCTTGAAAAGCTAAGATCAAAATCAGTTTATAAATTCTATCTTAATATAATTTCTTTCATTTATCATAGTCAAATATGAGACATTGCATATTGAACATCCTGTATAATTTCTTGCACTGAACTCTGAGTTACATTTATCACCATAATTAACTCAGACGTGAATCAAAAGTTAGATATGTATGTAGCATTCATTAAAAAGTTTATTAAGATTCTGTCAATTGGCTATTTAAAAGAGCATTTGGGTAACTGAAAGCTTGTTAATAACAAATAGCATTATATCACTAGTATGGAATATTTTATATCCTTCAATTTAGAGAAAAAGTGCAAAAAATATCTTAAACAATGTATTTTTTTATTTTGTTTGAACATTTTAAACATTACATGAATAAACAATACTAACTGTTTACAGTGTTTGTCAACTTTAATGATTTCTACACATTTTTCTTCCTGGCAGTATATAAAAAATACATATACAATTATTTGGCCAAATAAATAAGAATTAAATAATCTTAATCCCAAAACTTCACTTTTATTATATTGAAAATGTACATGTAGTCAATACCTAAATAAGACAAGTTATTGCTCTAAAACAAAATTCTATACTGGGAAGAACTAAATAAGTTAGAACATTAAATGTAATAACAATTAGGTTTTAAGATAATATTCATAATTATTACAATTTTAGCCTCTGACTAAAGTAAAAGATGCATGTAGAATAAACAGCATAACATTAATGAACATTAGTGAAACCTGATCATCTGTCAAACACACTTGTAAAAGATCTATAAGCTAAGGATCTTTTCAAATTAATGATTGTTATCTTATAATAAATGTCACTGATCAAAAACATCCCATAGAATCAATTAAGTGATCAGTGATTACCAATAACTTTTGTGTTATATCTTGTTACAAGTCTTTCCTGATGATAAAGACCTGAAAGTATGTGTATACGAGCCCACCAAATCTAGCCATAAGCCTGAAAGAAACATATTTGTGCATATGAAAAACAAACAAACATGGGGTTACTAAATGTATGCATGTATACTCAAAATTCATTACCACAGATTCACTATTAAGTTACACCTTACACCCAAACAGAATGCCACATTATGTTACTGAAACTAAATAAGAAAGTAAGTACATACACAATTTTACTCCAGCGTATGTGTACATATATCAAAATACCTTTATATGAACCTTGTACAAAATACTAAATACAATTAGGAAAAAAATGAGTTTCCTTAAAATAATTATTATCAGATATTATCACATATTAAAATATTAGCCATACTCTCCTTTTCTAATAACCTTTGTTAAGGTATAATTTAAGATTAATGAAAGACAGTACTTTCTACGTGTAAATGTATAAGAATTACATAAAGAGAAAACTTATTAAATTTAAAATGTGTGGTTTCAGACTCATTTCTAATTGAATTTCAATCAAAAGTTTCAAAAACACAAGATATAGTAATAGTAATATTATTTAAGCTACTGGAACATTTTAGAGTTCATTAAACAATGCACAATGAAGAGGGAGATCAGGAGATTGTCAATAAAACAGAAATAACATTATCAAAGTTAAACAGTAAATGATGAGATCTGGCAATTGACTAAAACTTCAGAATAGAAAGTGATAGTAAAATCTATCATATCGAAAAGGTAGTATAAATATTCAGTCCCTGATTGATAAAAAAAGCTCTTTTTAGTCAGGTAAAACAGTTTATCATTAAGAAGTGGATACTTCAGGAGTCAAAATTTTTGCAGTATACATGGGTCTAAGAGTTAGTTGATGTCTGGAAGAGGCTCCGTATCCTAAAATAGAAAAGAGAGCTTTTCTGAAATGTCTGTTTCTCCAAACATATATCAATGGGTTAACACATGGGTTAAGAAAAGTCAAAGGTACCAAAGCTGTGTACAACTGGTGCAGTTTCTCACTATCCTTGCCAGACAAGATCACTAGCAAAACCATGTGATATGGAAGAAAGGATACACAGTAGCTGATAACAATAGCAATCACTGTAACAGCAGTCTTGATTTCCTTCTGTAGACTATATGATTTGTGGATAATAGCAATGGTATGATGCAGCAATCTTCGAACCTCAAACCAAATACGTGTATGCACAAATGCTAAAAAAGCAAAAATCATAAATGCAGGAATGACCATAAAACAGAGAATATACTCTTTTGGAGCCACTGCAAGGTAGTCACACTTCTGGTCAGGAGCCCACTTGTTCCACACCAGTAGCAGTAAGGCTAGTATGGTAGACAGAAACCACACAAATAACACAACTGACTTTATTATACGGGGATTGGTCAGCTGAGTGTAGTGCAAAGGATAAAATATAGCCAGGTACCGATCCAAGCTGATGGCAGCAAGATTATATGCTGTAGCATAGGCTGGTAGCAAAATAAGAACATATCTCAGCAAGCAACAGTATTTGCAGCTATCAATATGCTCAGGTACAGAGAAGTATGCAGCATGATAGGCCATGGATACTCCAAATAACAGGTTGGCAACACACAGGCTGACCACTAGTTGGCTTGTGACTGTCCTGAGGCGACGATGAAACAAGATGACCAAAACTGTTAAAATATTGATGACTATTGTCAACAAAGTCCACATTATTTCCACTCCCATGATAACAGATGTTTTCCATTCCAGCGTTAAAGTACAACCATCACAAGTGCTAGATATGTTAGAAGTAGGGAGACTACTGTTGGAGACCATATCAGAGAGGTTAATGAGGTGCAAAAACTGCAACCTAATATTTCATACTTCTAACACTCAGTGTTTTCACAAAAATATTCTTCTTCAATATTGTAGCAACAAACCTTAAAAATCCAGCATTAGGAATAACTGTTCTTTATGAGAAACTTGATTAGACCACCATCAATTCTCAAAATACTAGTGCTCAGTTTGGTTATACCTACTATGAACTACTAATCACTTGTTTTATACAGTGTTCATATAGCTGCTCTAAAAAAATCCATCTCTAGTTACCAAATGTGAGCTTAACTGCTTCTACAAATACACACTCATAGGTTGTGATGAAACAACCAGTCAGTGCCCACTGATTTACTAATACTGTCTCTAGTGAGTTCTTAAGCAGACTGGTTGTGCCTGGGTCTGGGAGAGTTTCTAGGAGGATATTTGATAGTACCGGCTAGGTCTATAAGTCAAGTAATTTGACACTAGAATAAACATCACTCTTCAGTGCTGCCTGGTCACAGAGGAGCTATTATATGCTCTAGGTGGCATGATTGCATATAAGAAGAGAGCTTCAGCTCATCTACGTGAGCAGTTACACGTGTGAGGTTTTTATTTCTTAAAATTATATTTCTTTCTTTATATATTATAGTACATTAACATGTGTGCAGCTCTCACGGTCATCTCTTAATAGTTTATAACTTACTGTGTATTTGAGTTAGTTGGAAAGAGCACCCACCCACAATTACATGTCAGAAAGTAAAATTTGTAATTCTTAAAATATACTTTACTGGTTACAAGTACTTACTCACAAGCTTCTATTAAAACACAGATTCACAGAAAGAAACACACCCACAAAGTTACTCCTTAAACCATATTTCAACCATATATTCTATGCAGAAAAAAAAACAAGTTTCCTGAATTTTATTCATATAGTTCTCCATGGTTCCTTATTATACATTTCTTAAGTTTTGCAGATAAAAAGGTATCACTTTTTTTTTGCAGTTTTCTGCATGTTTTTATAGAAAAATTTTATACCAGGTCCAAGTAATATACAGTAATTTCAGAATATGAAACTAACTAGAATGTCCATCCAGCCATATATCTTGTCCATATATAAAAATAAATGGGGAAATACAACAAGATAACAGGCATTCTTTTTTATAAGAACTAACAGTGCATTAACAATAATAATGTTTTGTGTTTATGTAAAAGTTAACCATTCTGATTTCTAGAATACTGTATTTATCATTATTTGGCAAGGTCTGTAATTTAATATTTTTTTTTCTTTTAAATAACACTTCATTTTGAAGAAAATCAACCAAATTTTTAGTGCATGTATATGACTTTTCTTAATCCTGGTTACAAGTAAAGTGAATAATTAAATAAGTATTGCAAACAAAATGAAACACTAATTCATCAATAAAAATACAGGTAAACTTATTTGTGACAGGTAAAGCAAAATAACTTACTAAATACAGCTCAAGTACAAACTAGACTATTGTTTGCAGCAAGCAAAATGAACACTGAAATGAATAAACTGTAGTTTACAAAATTAACAATAGAATTTATGTGACTCATTCCTAATTTTAATGCAAACTGGAGTTTATTACAAGATAAATCTATTATGCTAAATAAAATAATAATCTATATCTCCAGAATATATGTTTATGAGCTCAATACTTCACTATTACAGCTTCATCAGGAGCTATCAATATTTTACAAGTCTACTAATCCAACTGGATTAGTAAACTTGTAGGATATATATAGTTCCTGAAAAAGCTGTAATGGTGAAATACTGAGTTAAGTTAAATGAGTTTTCTTTAGTCGTTACAAGCGTATTATAGTATATGTATAGAAAATTAACCAGTAAGTCAACACAAGTTTAACAGTCTTACATTTTGTGATGAACATTAAACTATAAGTAAGGTTAAAGCATTACTGGAGATATGTTAAGATGACTTCTTAAAGTAGAGATACATGTATCTCCAATAAATTTGGTTTACATGTTTCTCTGCTCGACAAGAACAGTGATAAGTAATGAACACAAGTGTGAATGTACATGTCGCTCTTGAGGTTGGTCTAAACATGCACGCAAGTGCCCTGCCCTCTTTAATGCCCCTCCCTCACACACACACAGCTGGAAGTCTAACAAATCGCTTTCTGTGTTCAAAAATGACATAATACTAGTTCTATGTACTTGTATGTATGCATGTATGTAATGCTTTTTCATCACAATGAAAATAGTTTAAAGACAGTCACTGAAAAATAAATAAGATAACACTTTCTTACACAACATTTTATAAGAATATAAAAAAAGAATGAAAATTACAGATAATACACTCATGAAGAAACATTATAAGATTCAAACAAAAGTGTAACAATACACATTTGTTTCACGAGACAATCTTAATACATTGGGTTTATATTTCCCTACATTTTACAAACAAAGTTGTAACAATTTTAATATTATTCTTATTTTCTATATTATTTTGTTAAAGACTGGTAAGCCACATAAATTCTTAAATAAAGCAAGAAAAGTACAGATACAGACATACTAAAAAACAGAATTGCAGGTACTAATACTTAACATTTTATGCTTTTATTTCAAAGTTGAACCAAAGTTTTAACAACAATAAATGACTTACATGTTTTATACATATAAAAATGAATGACTGTTTATAAAAATATACATATATCCTATTGTACAAGGATAGGCTGTCAATTTGTAGTTACTGAAAAATAACTGATAATTTGGAATAAGGAATCTGCACTGACAGTATTTCCAATCTGGTGAAATTACTTATTTGTATCAATAAGTCTCACTTGAAGCACTGAGTAGCAGCCCACCAGAGATTTCCCATTGACTGTTATTAATAGTCTATTTCTGGTATTTTCAAAGGTACAAATTACATTAAATATGGCTTTTTTTTCTCAGTTTTTACTATTCCCTAGTTATGCACAGATGCATATACACGTGTAATATTATACATTACAAAGCAACTGTAAAATTGTGGCTATATCCACATTTTATACTCATCCTAATCAAAATTTTCTTTATATTTTAAAACATTCCTGACTTGACAGCTATTATCCAACAACTTTTCATAATTTTATTTCTTTATCAAACTTACAATAAACAATAACTTATTCTATGCTGATATACCACTTCAAAAAACTTTAAGATTGCTAACGAGCATTCAAACACACAACTTTCTAGAGTTTGTTCATATACATACACCATGCACATCCACTTGTCAAATATCAAGCAGCTCATTTATCAAACATTCTAATTTAGCCAACAGCAAAGATTGGTTTAAACCACTCTGAACTGAAATCAAACAGACTAAATTGGTTTAAACCTCTCTGAACTTGTATTGAAAAGGCTGGATTGTACAGTAACATGTACATATAACTTACCATGGACTAACAGTAGAAAAACAGCTAGTCTGTAAGGTTTGAATTTTGTTTTTTGCTTTATCTTATTTCAGAATACACACTGTATAAAGTTCTTTAAAAAAATATTTTGCATATTACCTAAACTTACTGAACCTTTATACTGCCACGAGTTTTATTAACAAGGACCTCTGAACTACATCTACATAGTAAATGTAATGAGTGTTCAAAATTAACATCTATATATATATACGGTAATATTTCATGTACATAAACTTCAAGGTTGATTTTTTTTTTAATCAAAGTATATTGATAATTTCATTCCATGAGCTCCTCAGAAGTATATAATTTCTAAACTTACTTTACAATTACAAAATTGCCAAGTATTTTAAATTTTCATCACTACGTTTTGAAGTGGAATCCTAATTACATTATTTTTAGATGTAAACCTGTAAAATGATATTTTCTTAACTAATGTTATGATTTCCAAAGAAGAAACAAACTATTCATAAATTCAGATTTTTTTCATTACTAACTATCAAGAACCTTAGAAGATATTCAAATTAAGACATTAATACATATATATTTTATATTGTATTCCATTTCCAACCCTGTTTTACTAAACTTATTTGTTGTTTTTAACAGATCCTATAACATATGTACAATAACTTTATTGTAGAGAAAAGAATTAATGTATTCGAAAAATAAAAACTGAACTATGATCCACGTTCATCATTATACCTAAAATTATATACACATTTTTAAAACAGCAAACTATCATACACCCTTTTTACCAAACAAAACGTAGGTTTAATTTGCCAATGATTTGAGACATAAAATAGTTTTGAAATTAATCATATAAGCCACCAATTTCATTTAACAAGTAACTTTTAAACACACCTTAAAAATTATACTGATACTATACTCAGTGACACTATTTTAGAAACATAGTTTGGGATTCAAATTCAATGACAAGGAACCCACTTTGAGACTAATAATGCTTGGAGATGGCTTGAATGGGTACCTGATGATGACAAAACCTTATTGAAACGTTGTACATTTACTGTTATGTTAAACTTGTATTAAAGTTTTTCTTCATTACCATTCAAGCCGTCTCCAAGTATTGATTAGGATTATATGAAATCAAATAGTGAAAGAAATTTTGTGAAGGGATTCAAGATGGTTTTCTACAAGTATACCAAATGTTTACAGAATCAAATGTAAAGAATACTATTTTAGATTTATTACTAACCACCAATGTGTAGACTGTTACAAGAGCAGAAGTGAAGAAATATTTGAGGATGATTGATCATTGCATAACTAGATAGGTTTAACAGTTTTATACATGATGGGATCAAGAAAAAACTTAAATTCTAGTTTCTAATTTTTAAAAAACTAAGTTATTAGTGAATTGACCTCAATCATGCAGATGTTAAGATATTAATCCCTTGATGTTAAATAAAAATAAGTGATTTGAAAATAGATTAAACACCAGGACTATCATTTTAAAAGTGGTCAAAGGTTAGATATGCAAGTCTCTCTTATTTTTGGTATGTCAAAAGATAGTGGGCAGGTGTCTCAAAATTCTAGAGTTGCTAATGTTACTCCTGTTTTTATAGAGGGGTGATAATGGTTTTCCTGAAAATTATACTTTAGTTAGTCCTATAGTCCATCTGTAGTAGGAAATACTCTTAATAAAAGAACCTTTGCAAAGTCATTTAGTGAAATATGGTATCATAAAAGAAAGCCAACTTGGACTCACTAAAGTAATGTTTTCTAACTGGTGCCTGCGAGTTGCATCTGACTCACAGCTAGGTTTCATTCTGGGCCCAAGAATTGGAAGGATCCCTTAGTTAAAATTTAAGTTTATAAAATAAATATATATTATAAAGAGGTAAAATAATATTTGCACATTTTTCATTCTGTCATAAGTTATCACACCCATGGATTGGTGAACAGATATTACATGTTCTGAGTCTTTAATAAAATTACACAATATAAGATTATGTGGTTAATTAGCAATTTGATTTGGTGGTGAATTGAAAGTTGTAATTTGATCTCCCATTGGTGTGATGTTGAGCAGCCCTCCATTAAAAGATTATCTTGCCTTACTCATCTGTTAACTAATTTCTTTTTAATATCTTGTTATCTGAATAATGGAAAGAGCCTGGTTTTGACATACATTGATTTTCTGAAGACTTTTGTTAAAGTGCCAAACAGAAGGTTGGCTAAGCAAATCACATTAGTGGGAATAGGGGAAATACTAGTTGACTGTATTGTAGAATGAATTATGAGAGAAACAAAACTGAAACTTTGTTACTTGTGGTGTGCCTCAGAAGTCACTGCTTGGACCCATACTTGTTTTTATTTGCATTAATGATATTGACTAAAGCTGGGCAATAAGAGGAACTTGCTAACTGATTAAGCTTAGGACTCATTAATTGATTATATGTAACTTTTTTTTTTCAAACATAAAATTAATCTTCCTATTTTCCACTTGTTTTGTTTTTTTTAAAGACATTTTCAAACTGCCCTTTGTTTAATTTGATGAACATCTTCAGGTACAACAACTTAGATTTAAGTTACTTTTTTATTCCTTTAACTGTTTCACACGAAAATTTATCATACATAGAATGAAATATGAAGCCTGTAACAAGCTGAAAATATGATTAATACAATTCTGTGAGTTCTTCCCTACAAATGTTCACAAGACTGCTCTACTAAAACTAAACAAGTTCTTTGTTAAAAATAATTTTCTTTGGATTTTTTATAATTCAGCAAAAACAAATTTACAACAATCCTAAAAAACAAATTCAGTATAATATTTATTATTTGGTAAAAAAAAACTTGTGATAATATTATATGATCTCTTTGCAGTGATTAAAATGATTCATAAGGTGGAAAACAAAATATTATAAGAAATTTTAAATCACGGTAATATGAAAAAATCTGTACAATTATAGACATTTCAAATGTTTTATCAAGTTCCATAATTAGTGAGGAAAAAAAAATTAACTTAAAGTATTAAAAATTCACAAGCTTTGAAGAAAGTTATTGATATGGATTAAAGTTTAGAAAGAACACACCAAGATGGTTAATTTTACATTTCATAGTACAGGATGGAAGAAACTACTGCATTTGGGTTATTATAACCTGAATCCCACATGACAATACTGACTTTTGTTTCCCGTTTTAGTGCTTTCTATCTAGTTAAAGTTAGCCACAATTAAACAGAAGTCCTGTTCCTGTAAGTAGATTAATGACTTAACAATATTAATTATTGTTAAAACTGATATTATTAGTCCATGGATAGTAATTTCTGAAAAACATAATTAAATGTGCAAGTTGTTCAGCAATCATTTTTTTGAGTGAATAAAAATAATGAATATTAATTTGTCATATTTTCTTTTCGTTAAAGCATTATTACCTTAGGTAACACTGGTTATATTTATAGCTTTTAATAAGTAAGCAGTATATTAAGTTAAACTGTGCTATTATTTAGCCAGATCAGGTAAACATGAACATTAGTATGGCTAGTAATGTAACAAATGACCACAAGGCTACACCCTCATATTAGTGATTTGTGTATAAGCAGAACATATGCATCCTGGTAAGTACAGTAGGACCAATGAAAGGAAGTAGTAATAGCCGATATTTCAACTACTTTGATAATTAAAATAATCAAAAATTGTAATAATGGGAAACACTTTTCAATTAGTTGATTATTTTTGTGAAAGTAATCAATTTGATTGTAATAGTGATCAATCAACTATCTTATGTGACACTAATCAATATAATTACAATCAAAAGTAACTAATAATATCAATTAATCCAGTTAAATTGCTCAGCCCT